ATCAGTATGACAATACGACACCCTCGGTCCTTAGACCCTCACATCGTACAAGGAAAAACTTCCGAAGAAAACCCACAGTTTAAAGGGAAAAATGGGAGAAACCTCAGGGAGAGCAACAGAGGAGGGATCCCTCTCCCAGGACGGACAGACGTGCAATAGATGCCGTGTGTAAATTGAAAAGATGATACATTTGCAACATAGGTAGTCCAAATGTTTGGAAATGCATGTGTGTATAATAGGAAGATGAATCCACGAGGATATCCATCCAGGACCTATGATCCAGGACCACAGCCACGACTCAAGATCCAGGGCTCGCGATCCAGGACAGAGGAGCGCAGGATTATCCATGACTCCGGATCCCGGCGTATATATACACCAAAAAGAAAGACATTTGGGGAAGCTGGGTTAATCGGAACATGAGAGTACACAGGTATAGACAGAGAGAAGGAAGAAGTAAGATGTCCCCCGACAAACTAAGCCTATATCAGCAAAACTAGGGGCTGAATCTAATCAGCCCTAACTATAAGCTTTATCAAAAAGGAAGGTCTTAAGCGCACTCGTAAAAATGGATAGGGTGTCTGCCGCCCGAACACAAACTGGAAGCTGATTCCACAAATGTGGAGCTTGATAAGAAAAGGCTCTGGCTCCCATTGTACTTTTAGAGACTCTAGGAACAACCAACAACCCTGCATTCTTGGAACGCAATGCCCTAGTAGGACAGTAGGGTATAATGAGTTCTTTAAGGTAAGATGGCGCCTGCCCATTAAGGGCTTTGTAGGCGAGAAGAAGAATTTTAAATTCTATCCTGTGTTCTATAGGGAGCCAGTGTAAGGCAGCCAGAACAGGAGTAATGTGGTCCCTTTTCCTAACTCTGGTTAGTACACGAGCCGCAGCATTTTTAATCAGCTGAAGCGACTTGACTGACTTCTTGGTACACCCTGATAATAAAGAGTTACAATAATCCAGCCTTGAAGTAACAAATGCATGGACTAGTTTCTCTGCATCGTTTTGAGGCAAGATATGCCTGATTTTTGCAATGTTACGTAGATGGAAGTAGGCGGTCCTTGAAATTGATTTTATGTGGGCGTTGAAGGATAAATCCTGATCAAATATAACACCAAGATTCCTTACAGTCTCACTGGAGGCCAAATGAATGCCATCCATCGTTAGTATATCCTTAGATAATTTGTTTCGTAGATTCTTCGGGCCAAGTACAATAACTTCAGTTTTGGTCGTGTTTAACATCAAAAAGTTTAAGGTCATCCACGTTTTTAAGTCCTTAAGGCAGTCTTGAATTTTATTTAGATGATTAATTTCATCAGGCTTGATTGATAAATATAGTTGAGTATCATCCGCATAACAATGAAAGTTTACAGAATGATTCCTTATAATATTGCCTAACGGAAGCATATATAATGTGAACAAAATAGGTCCAAGCACTGAGCCCTGTGGCACTCCATGGCTAACTTTGGTTTGCGTGGAAGATTCATCATTGACACGTACAAACTGAGAGCGTTCAGATAGATAGGACCTAAACCAGCCTAAAGCAGTTCCCTGTATGCCAACTAAGTGCTCTAGTCTTTGCAATAAGATATCATGGTCGATAGTATCAAATGCAGCACTGAGATCGAGCAAAACAAGAATAGAGACACGTCCCTTGTCAGAGGCTATTAGAATGTCATTTGTGACTTTAACCAGAGCTGTCTCTGTGCTATGATGTGTTCTAAAGCCAGACTGAAAAGCTTCAAATAAATCATTGTTTTTTAAGTAATCACACAACTGTTTTGCGACCGCTTTCTCAATAATTTTTGAGAGGAACGGAAGATTGGAAATAGGTCTATAATTGGCTAAAACCTCTGGATCGAGGTTGTGCTTTTTAAGAAGCGGTTTTATCACTGCTACTTTGAATGATTGTGGAACATAGCCTGATAATAAAGACATATTCATAATATTTAATAAATAAGTGCTAATTAACGGAAAAACTTCCTTCAACAGCTTAGTTGGAATTGGGTCTAACATGCACGTTGATGGTTTAGAAGAGAGAATCATTGAATTTAATTGTTCAAGGTTTATGGCTGAAAAGCATTCTAGTTTACTATCTAGTGTAATATTAGAACTTACGTTTCCGGGAGCTGTTGATAACACTATACTGGTCAAAGGCAAGAGGTCATTAATTTTGTTTCTAAGAGTAACAATTTTATCATTAAAAAAGCACATAAAATCATTACTACTGAGTGCTATGGGAATAGAAGGCTCAATCGAGCTGTGGCTCTCTGTTAGCCTGGCTACAGTGCTGAAAAGAAATCTTGCATTATTCTTATTCTCATCTATTAATGAAGAGTAGTAGGCTGCTCTCGCTTTACGCAGTGCTTTCTTATATTCATTGAGAGTAATATGCCAAATTAAACGAGATTCTTCAAGTTGATGAGCCGTGCGAGTTGAGCACGCGCGTGAGCTGCGAGCACCAGCGCCTCGCAGCGGCGAAACTGAGGCTCCGTGGCCTGTGGTAACATGAAGAGCCGTTTGGGAGCCAAAAGAGCTGGCGCTTTAAGAGAGCCGAGCCAAATGATCCGGCTCACTAACGTAATAAAGACAGTATAAGGGACGGCTCAAGTCCAAATTCAAGTCCCCCCCCCCCCCCCCCCCCCCCCCCCCCCCCCCCCCCCCCCCCCCCCCCCCCCCCCCCTCTGGGTGGACGCCCTCTCAGCCCTGGTCTGGCGGAAACACCGGCGAGAGAAACGTTATCTTTCGATCCCGTTTGAATTGTCCCACGAATTACACATATGATGTTTGTCAATTTAAAAGATAATTTTGCAAGTAAAAAAAAAATGTTTTGCCGTAACACTGTGAAGTACACACGTTAAGGCTCATGTTAAGGCACGTTAAACACACGTCACCAAGATGGCTGTCACTACTGTAAAGGTGTATTATAGAATGATCACACCGGTGACAGTTCAAAGGGTTCACGAAATATGACTACTACTCTACTGTTTAACACTTAATGTAAGACTCATGTTAAGGCTAATAAAAATAACAAGGCTAAGCCGGGTGTAATGCTAACTAACGTGCTCTACTGTTTAACACTTAATGTTACTTCATGTTAAGGCTAATAAAAATAACAAGGCTAAGCCGGGTGTAATGCTAACTAACGTGCTTGCAACTAGCTAGGTAGCTAACTTGATCCAGCCAGCCACTACTACTCTACTGTTTAACACTTAATGTTACTTCATGTTAAGGCTAATAAAAATAACAAGGCTAAGCCGGGTGTAATGCTAACTAACGTGCTTGCAACTAGCTAGGTAGCTAACTTGATCCAGCCAGCCATTCCTGGTCCTTTCATCAGACGGGAAGCGAAAGAACGAGTAAGACCCATTGCTGGTATGATTACAACCTGGTACTAAGCACAGGCATATTGTTAAAGTTATCCTAGCTATCTCTTATATTTAGTGGAGGAAAACAATGACATAATTTACGCGACTCTGGGATTTGTAGTCTTTCTAGTTGCGTATTTTTTTTTATATAGTCTTATATTTCAACAGTTTTACGACAAACTCTGATTTTTTTGACATGGAAATTATTTTTTAAGATTGACAAACATCATATGTGTAATTCATGGCACATAACGGGATCGAAAGATACATTTTCGCTCTCCATTGACTTCAATAGCCTACATAATTTTTCCGAAATAAGGTCCCATGGGGCGGAAGTAGAAGGGCGGGACTTCGCCTCTCTATTGTCACAGCTCACAGGATAGGTACCTGTCAGCCAATAAGACATATGTTTATTTCCATTCAACTCTCTGGTTGGTCTGGTGTCTTTCCTCTGTTGCATTCACTGAACACGGGCAATTACAATCCTGCCGTCCTTTCATGATGAGGTTCAGGTAAAGCACGGTTAATGTATTATATGATGGACTCAATAATATAATACATTACTTTGAGAGTAGGCAATCTAGGCATATTAACAACATTAATTAAACATACTTATCACGGCGACGGTGTACTGAGATTATTATTATTATTTTTCATTTTTTGATAGGGGGCCCTTAGTGGCTGCGGGGCCCTAAGCGGCCGCTTATGCCGCTTAATGGGCCGGCTCTGTAATGACACCTCCTGCACCTGCAACCTACTGAACCCTTACATGCTTCCTGCAAAACCTACCAAATCACACAAGTTACGTGTAATAAATGGGAAATAAATGCATTTCAAAAGAATGTACACACCTAGGCCTACATGTATTATTTGGCGGTGGTGGAAAAAGTACTGACTGAGTTGTAATCCCTTTGTTAGAAAAAGTAGGCTATAGTATACCTCAAATTACTTAAAAGTAAAAGTCCCGCATTTCAAACCTTAAAAAGGAGGGGTGGCCGTGGTACACTAAAATGTAATTAAACAATACAAAAAGAGAATAGAGACCCATTTCCCCCTTTCAGAATGTTTCAATTTATTTTATTGAATTGCAGCATATTTAAACTTTGGTCTTTTTTTGTAGGTAAATTCTTGAGATTTAAAGTAACTAGTGGCTGTTGCTGTCAAATAAAGGTAGTGAGGATCAATCCTACTGTTTAATAGATGCAGTTTGTTAAAAGGTGCTTTATCCCCCTCTGAAAGCAGTAGGCTAGCTGGAAGGGAACTTCTAGCTCCTATTTAAAATGCCATTGTTTCTGTTTCCCTTCAATCTTGCCTCATATTTTCTCTTTTATCAGATCGATCCCCAAAAGCAACCGTTTTCGATATACCCATTCATTTGGACCTTAAGAAAATTGCCAACAACTTGAAGTCAATGGAAATATGGTAAAATATAAAAACACGCAACAACAATGTATGTATACATCCTATCTCAGTCTGTGTATTTGTATGAGTCCTACCTTGATCTTCTTCTGCTTAACTGAAGTTTTTCTGGTTTAGTATTTCTCCTAATATTACATTAAAAAAACTGAACATGCGCAGCAGCAGGGCTCCTCATATATATGGCGCTCCTCAGCACTCTGTCGCAGATATGACGTCATCAGCGTTGGCGGTAATTTGAAAAAGGAGCGTCTGTTGTTATTTTCCGTGACTTGGAGATACATCTCTGACATTTACAAATTATGGTGAGTCGACTCGTCCTTTGACTGATTCTTGTAGTGCCAATATGTAAACAATAATGTAAAGTGCAAGGTTTTCACATCAATTATTAATAGAAAATATCGGCCCTGCGAACTTAAACTAGCTAATGTCAACTTTCAACCTAGCCTACAGCTAACAATACATCAACCATGCACTGACTCCGACAGTATTTCCCGTGCTGTACTAAGTATTCATACATAACACGGCATACAAATCGCTACATAGTGTCCTCTTTGTGTTCCCGTGTCCAGGCCGAGTTGGAGGCAGGTGTGGCGGCGAAAGAGGCTCTGTCAGAGACCGCTCTCAATGAGCTCATGGAGCAGTGTGAGGAGCAGTTCATCCAGCTGGAGAAGGTAATGTCTCCCCGGGCTGTGCTTTATACTCTGGGCCCGGAAGAGAAGAAGAGTTACAAACTGCAGTCTGTGTCTCTGTGTTGCAGCTTCAGAATGAGATCATACTGTCTGAACCAGATGCATGTGAGAATCCTCAAGACCAGGTGAGATGACTGTACATGCTTCACTTTATATACGTGAATCCCCATGTATCACAGAGGTGGGAGAAGTACTCAGATCTTGTACTTACTCTATGTATACTAATAACTAAATTAAATGATGGTAGTAGGGATGCCAGTGATTATTCGAATATTCGTTACAGTCTCCATAATCGAATATTATTTTTAAAAATCGATTTTATTTATATATTTTTTTATTATTATTTATGTTTTATTTTTCTGGCTTAGTTTCAACCAAAATATAGACTAATGCTAATAATAGTAATATTATTAATAATTGTAAATGGCCATTGGTCACACCACCAGTTTGTTTTACTGTAAACTTGGAGGGTCGGTCGGTCGGTCGGTCGGTCGGTCGGTCGGTCGGTCGGTCGGTCGGTCGGTCGAATGGTCGAATGGTCGAATAATCGATTATTATTCGCCAGGGCTGCTGAATAATCGATTTTGATCATGGTCAGTTTCTGGCAACCCTAGATGGTAGTGGAGTAAAGATACTCTATTAACAAACTCCTAATTGTTGTGAGGTAGAAGTACAAAGTTCCAAAACATTGGATCACTCAAGTAAAGTCTTTCAAAATTGTTCTTAAGTACAGTGCTTGAGTAAATGTACTTAGTTACTTTACACCACTGGTAACACATGGAACACCTTGAAGTTGGTGTTCATTTCATTTTTCCGTTTACTTTTTGAAATATCATTGTTACATGAATTTATGACATTTAATTAAAAAGATTTATATAAATACCCTAGCCTAGACAACACTTTTCACTTGCAAACTTGAAAATCCCTTACATTGACTCTAAAATGTAACATTAACGTAGACCTTTATTATAATCATTAGGGATGCTCCGATCGATCGGTTACCGATCGAGATCGGCCGATACTCACTCTCTACCGATCGATCGGTGCTCTCTAAACATGCCGATCGCGAAAGCCGATCACATGACGTAAAATACATGACACTTTTCTCTGTGTGTGCGGCAAAACAAGCTCGCCAAAATGGCTTCTCCGGTCTGGCATTCTTTTAAGGTGTCCGAAAAAGACAGTAAAATAGCGGTATGCAACGTGTGTGTGAAGCAGAAATCCTGCAGCTCCGCCCGCCGGACTGGTAAACGCAGCGAAACACACACACAGGGAGAACCAGACCGCAGTTCATTTCCTCATATTCCAAACGAGAAATTACGGTAGCAAATCACCCGGTTCTTTACGACCAGAACTATTAACGGGATACAAACCGGAGGAACCAAGCATGGAGGGAGGTGGCAGAGACAGTGGGTGAAACTGGTAGGTTTTCGCCTGTTTGGGGAGTTTATATATATATATATTGCTCGCATAAAATCCCCGGGGTTTTTTGCTTTGTATGTCGGGGGCGGGAGATTCATGTGATTGGTTGTTGGTCGCGTTGCTCGCAAAAAATCCCCAAGCTTTCAGACACGCCCAGCTCCAAGATTTTCAAGATTTTTGAAAAGCTGCTGTGTGGACGTACCGTAAGAGTTAGACCTAACACACTTAGCTAATTTATCTACCTCTGGAACAAGCTAAACTAGTTATTATAAATATAGCTATTCTTCATTGTCGGGTCACTCATTACTGGATCAGTGAGCTGCGTGAGATACTGACAGGCTGTCAGGAGAGAGAGAGAGAGGAAAAGAGAGCGCTTCCGCTAATTTCTTCCGTGTTATTATCCAAAGTGAATGTAAACTTGAATAATGTACATCATTTGAATGTAATAATTAAGTTGATTGTTGTTTGTGGAAGCTCCAGTGAATGAGCCCCATTAACTGAGTTTTAAACATCACTTTAAATGGAAGATTTAAAGTGATGTTTAAATCTTCCATTTAGGCTCCGCCCACTCGATCGGATCGGCGATCGGTATCGGCCGATACTGATTCCGGCGATCGGCGATCGGCCCCGAAATTGGCGATCGGAGCATCCCTAATAATCATAATGTATTTCAAAGGCCTAAACTGGCAATAAAGACTTCCTAACTGGTTGACAATTCACACATTATGAAATACAGGGAAAGGCAGAAGAACAACTTTGACAAATGTTCATCAAACTGTGCTTTTCTGGCACCAATATTCAACCTTTAACACATTCAGGGAAAATGTATAATGTAAACTTAAAGAATGAATTGAATTTAAGGAACTGCAGAGGCATTTGGAAGAGCACAGTGACGGACACCTAAAAGATGAAATAATACATTCAAGTTATAATACTTTGTAGTACATACATGTGAAAACAAGCTATACACATTATAGTTAGTGATTTTACAATGCTAATATTAGTTCAAAATAGCTGTAAAACTAATGATAAAAATAAGAATTATAACCTTGCTGTAACAAATGTAAAATGCAGACAATGAGAGAGTTTTGTCAAAGCGGCATCCCGTAATGGCTTCAGATGGCAACAACAAGCCATAAGTGTGTTTTATAAATGTTAACAAACAACGTCACATTTCAAGCTTGTTCTTCTTGATTATGTTTTTGTACAAAACCAAATATCACTGTGACCTGTATCTCGTCTTCACTGGACAGAGTTAATCTTAACCAGTCACTCAACTTTTAAAACTAGACTCTAGGTTATTCCTCACCTACAGATGTGCTAAATTCAGGTTAAGATGTCCCCAAAGAGCAAAAAAGTATTTTTGTAATATTTAATTTAAAAAAAGTCCTTTCACATATTACAAAATATGATCAGCTTATTTATTTTTTATTGAAATGTGTGACATTATTAAATGCAAATAACATAACTTAATCCTGCTTAATAAATTAGATTGATCATTTGTTTCTGTGCATTGCCAAATGTTCACAGGCAGCAAATAGACTGATGGCAACGGAAGCTGAACTGAAGCAGTGGCTGAGAGTGGAGCCTAAATGTAAGTACTCCATTCACACTGTGATAAAAGCTTGAACATAACAAAGTATATGAATTTACAAAATATCAATATCACAAATTAGCACCACGATGTTATGCCTCAGGTACAGTTTACTTTCATTCCACAACATTTTAAAGGAAATCGTTTAGTCTGCTGTGAAATTGGTGCGATACACATTCGTTTAATCAAGATTTAATATAAGACTTTACTTTATCAAATTGTGATTCCAGGCTTTCAAATCTAATTGAAATTGTTTACCTGCTGTTTCTAATGTGTTAAAGTGCACTTCATTATTTTTCTACATCTAGTGCTGGCATCAAATTCAGAAGTTTTACTCGAAGCTGGAAAAGAAGAGGTATGTCTTGATATGTTACAACATTAAAGAATACTGGAAATTCTTATTTAAATGCTCCAGTAATGCCACCAATGTTTCCTCTTTGTTTTCCGCAGATGCTCAAACTGTGCTCAGAACTCGAGATGGTTCTTTCTTGCCAGGAAGCAAAGAGAGACAAACTGAAAGAAACCAAAGAACTGTGCGTAAACCTTATGTGTGAAGTTCAGACTTTCTTTTCCTTCCTCAGGGAAAATACTGGAAATGCTTAAACATGGCCTTTCAGAAACATTCCATTTGTTTAGCTCTATGTATGAATAATGATAAAAGTCAATGTTTTTCAGTGAACAGAAGTGGTTGGAGGAGAAGACACAAGTGCTGATAGCTACCAAAAACCACATTGAGCGAATGCAAATGGAAAAGGGGAAAGCATCAGAGCACAGGTGAGTGTTGCGGAGAAAACACACTAAACAAGAAGGGTTCAAGTTTTGAGATGTGTTTCCACTGGAGGGCAGCTCACCCTGAGAATAGTAGCAGAAAAAAGGAAACAAATTCTACCAAACATGTGTGTGTAAACATGCATTCCACAGTATATTGCTGGACACCAAAGCTCAAATCCAGAAGATGAATGTGTACCAGCAGAGGTTGATGGAGTGTCTGTCGGATGTTCTGGAGAAGCACGTCCCTCTGCCTCAGTACGAGTCCAGCACCAAGAAGAAGAAGAAGGTGCAGTGTTCCTGTGTCTTTGATGCTCGTTGTGCTTTTGTGTTTACATAAAATACCTGTTCCGTTTCTGCTCTACTGCAACTAACCGATTTCGTGTTTTCATTCTCAGAGCTCCCAGGAGTTTGATAAAGACATGATTTCCCTCAATGAAATTCTCGAGGTGGGTATTGAATCATTACATTATAATAATAATCTTTATTTGTATAGCACCTTTCATACAATAAGTGCAGTTCAAATTGCTTCACAGTAGACATCTCACAGAAAATGTATATCACATAGAGCCGTTACCAGTAAAAGCCCTAAAAACAAACTGAAAATAGCATAGAGTAGACGTATGAAAATTACATTTATATTATAAGCCTTTATGTCCAGACCATATCAAAAAGCATAACACATAGTTACAAAGTGCTTCACAATACATATAATTCATTTGATAAGAAACAAAACTTGTATAAGATATAGAACAAAAAAACGATCAAATAATTGTCAGTTTAATAGCAACTAAGCTAGCGTGTTTGAGCAAAATGAGAAAACTTTTATTTTGAGGATAAGCCATTATCAAGTTGAATCCATCTGTTCGTTGCTGTGATACCACACGGTACATGACGTCATCATCGGACATTTTAGCTGCATTTTGATAGGCTGCAAAGTTGAGAGTTTTAAAACAATTGCGTTAAGTTTCAGACTTTTTCATGGTGAACAGCAGTCCATTCTGCAAACTATCACTACTTTACATGTAGTAAAGTGATGTCCGGTGCTTTGCTCAAGGGCACCACGGCAGGGCCCAGGAGGTGAACTGGGACCTCTCCAAGTAGCAGGCCACACTCCATATTTAGGTCTGGTCGGGGACTTGAACCGGCGACTCTACGGCTCACAGTCCAAGCCCCTACTGACTGAGACATCACTTTCGTCACATCAAATCTCTTTACGAAATGTTTATAGTCAATATATATTGACTATAAACATTTCGTAAAGAGATTTGATGTGACGAAAGTGATGTCCCACTTAAAGGTAGGGTAGGTAAGAATGGAGAAACCAGCTCGAGTGCGCTAGAATTTGAAAGTACACAACCGAAAAAAATCTGCCCCTTCCTTCAGACTTCCTTACAACACACACGAACGCGCACATGACCAATGAGGGCATGAGATAAGTTTGTGCATGAGATGAAACGCTGACAGGCAGGTAGGCCATCCAATTGTCTGCCACGGTCCGAGGCAGATCATTGGACTTGCTTTTTACAGCGCCACGGCTTCCACAGATGAAATATTTGTATATATTTATTGTCAAAGCATTTAATGTATTCATTGCTATTGGGATGTTAAGAGCTTTCCATGGAATATAACAAAGTGTTTCTGAAGTGAATTACCTACCCTACCTTTAAATATATATATATATATATATATATATATATAAATTCAACCTATATCAATTGAACTGTCTGTAAATGCCTGCAAACTTTATAAATTGATTCACATGGCCCCATTACTTAACCCTATTCTCCCTCTGTCTTCTGTAACCCCACAGCTGCTCATGAACAAGGCTCTGAACACACCACACGACCCCTATATGACGATAGACAACACATTCTGGCCCCCGTACATAGAGCTGCTGCTCCGCTATGGCATCGCAGTGAGGCACCAAGAGAGTAACTTCAAGATCCGCCTGGAAACATTTTTTTGAGGCAGTGGTGCACGAGGCTTCTCAAGCACCACTCATCTGCCAGTGTTTGAAAGCTTGAGGCTGCTTGCACAGTTCAAAGTGCTGTGTGTGTGTGTGTGTGTGTGTGTGTGTGTGTGTGTGTGTGTGTGTGTGTGTGTGTGTGTGTGTGTGTGTGTGTGTGTGTGTGTGTGTGTGTGTGTGTGTGTGTGTGTGTGTGTGTGTGTGTGTGTGTGTGTGTGTGTGTGTGTGTGTGTGTGTGTGTGTGTGTGGTGTGTGTGTGTGTGTGTGTGTGTGTGTGTGTGTGTGTGTGTGTGGTGTGTGTGTGTGTGTGTGTGTGTGGTGTGTGTGTGTGTGTGTGGTGTGTGTGTGTGTGTGTGTGTGTGTGTGTGTGTGTGTGTGTGTAAACATGTAAATGCATTTGACAAAACACTCTCAATTCCATGTTAACTTACTCAATAGTGTTAAAGATATTTTCTTAAATACATATTTCCTTCAATCCTATTTTTGAGTTTATATTAATGATTAAACATTGCCATTGCTAAGTAATGAATGTTTGTAGTCATGTCTTTAAATTCAGTTTCATTCAAAGTTTTGCAAATGTACTGTGACCCACTGAAGCCTTAACCCTTTAACTGCCAGCACCACCATTTGGTAGAGCACATTTTGTGTCTTGATATCTTGTTGAAAAAAAAAAAAAGTTGAACTCCATCTGATTCAGCCAGCTCTACCCTTTGGTTGACATGTTATGCACAAAACAACCTCTAGATGTCACTGTGGTTCTAACAGAATGCCCTTCAGCTAGCTTCCACTGAGGAAGTCACTGCCGAATAAATCACTCTTTTTGGTCAACTTTTGTAAGGTAACCATATCAATTTTGACATATTTTAGTGGCAGGGCACTGACTGAACATAATTAGATAACTTGATGCAAAAAAAAGTTTTAACAAGGGTGTAATTATTATTTTTTTAAATATGCTCAATCAATCGGTATGATTGATATGCTCAATCAATCGGTCAAATTGGCCTTGCGTAAGCTAGCAATATGACTGTTTCAGAGATGTTTTCCAATACAATATGGCAAATACATGGCTAGATTCATGCTAATATTACTAAATCTAGTACTGTGTTATGAGTCTCAGAGTGAAAGAGTGATAATAATTTATATAGCACCTTTCATGCATGGCATTCAGCCCAAAGTTGCACACAGATGAGCAAGTTAGGCCAACACAGGATATAGACATTTGCCGTTAGGCCAGTGGTTTCCTGTTAGGCCAATTCAGCATACACGGTAAGATGAGCAAGTATTTTTTTTATCATGAAAAACACTTTACATTACTTTTTTCCATTTTTTTTTTACAATTATAATTTATCTTTTATGAATATATCTGGTTGTATATATTGCTAATTTTCCATAAAATAAACATCTATTTGAGTTTGTGTTTTATTTGAGTTTGATGCATACAAATACTGTACTGTATATGATTGTTGAAAATGTACTTTTACCATAGAAGGTCAGCTAGAGGCTCTACCTAGACGGTAGAGGCTCATAAAAGCAAAACTGTGTGGTCAGTCAACATAATAATTGTTTGTGCTTATTTGTGGCCCATTTGATAAGAAAATGCAACAAACAAAAATTCCATAGCTTTTTTCTTGGTCTGGCAGTTAAAGGGTTAACATGCCTAAATGGTCTATTCTCAGAGGTTCTCAAATGGGGGTACGCGGACCCCTAGGGGTACGTTGGTGTACTGCAGGGGGTACGTGAGATTTATTTTATGTTAATGAAAAAAACAACATAAGTATTGCATTTAAACAAACTACTAATAGTAGATTAACTACTTTATTCAAAGGTTTACAGCAATTCTGGATAATAAAATGGGAAAAATAAGCGGGGTGCTCTCTTTTCCTCTCCCTCTCCTGACAGCCCGTCAGTCTCGTGCAGCTCGCTGAATATACCTCTTTATATAGGCATTTTTTCCTTAACAAATAGTTTTTGCGCTGATCAGGGGGTACTTGGCTGAATTTTTTTTTCAAAGGGGGTACACTATTGAAAAAAGATTGAGAACCACTGCGATGTGTATACAGATTTGATATATGTTACATGGACCGCATAACTGGACTGGAATAACTGCAGCTGTGTGTGATGGATTCAAAGATTGTTTTAAAACGTTTGTTGTAGGCAGCCAGTAGGTGGCTTGCCAGTCAAAATGATGGGATAAAGTTTGATTCTATATAATAATTATTTTATGAATATGTAAACTTCATAAGATACTCAGTGCGTCAGAGCACGTCGTCAGAGCTGTTGCCCAATCAGGTGCATCCGCCGCGTCAGCTTTAGGATTCCTGTGGGCGGAGAGGGGATTCCGGTTCCGGGTGTTTTCATATCCCACTCGGAGGCGTTCATCTCTCTGATTATGGTATTTTATCATAAACGTATTTCTATAGAAGACTGATTAAAGTAAAGTTATTTTGATTAAGGAGGTCCAACAGTTGCCGTGAACATGGCGACCCGCTCGGAGAGAGAAAAGTCCCTAAAACTCAACGAGCAGCACCAGGCCATCCTGTCCAAAATGCTGAGAGAGGAAGACAACAAGTACTGCGCTGACTGCGAGGCGAAAGGTGCGACTTACACATCATCGACATTTTTTCCATGACACTAGACAAAGTTAACATTTCCACTCAGAAAAAGCCGCTAACGCTGTATAACAATGTAGCATCTTCGCTAGTTAGCTTGGCTAGGCTAACCCGCTACTGTGTAACCGGCTAAGGCTAGTCAGCTGACATCTCTTCCCTTTAGCAAAACTAAGTGGCTAACTAGCAAGCTAACTTCTCTAAATCTACTCAAGCTCATCGGCCTCAGTGCCTCTCCCTCACCGCCGCCTGCAGCTCCTCTCTCTGGGGTTTTACAGGCGTTTTGCGAACTGTGTCAGATCCACATCAGGAGCCTGACTCTTTCTCTTGTTATGTCATTGTTAAAGAATGCAGAGCCTGCTTTTGGATCTTGAAGTCTCTGCAAGATCGTGCAAGCTTAAGGTTTCTTCGGGTTTCTGTCTATCTATGGTTTCTGCAGACATGTATCTATATCTAATTCACAGTCTTTCTTTTATCAGGTCCAAGATGGGCATCCTGGAATCTGGGAGTATTTATGTGCATCCGGTGTGCTGGCATCCACAGGAATCTGGGAGTACACATATCCAGAGTCAAATCAGTCAACCTGGACCAATGGACCTCAGAACAAATGCAGGTACTGTTTTGATCCTGTGTGTATTTATGTTTATTTACAGAAGAGGTGGCCTTTTATTATATGAATAACTAATCACTCACGCAAAGTCTCTAAGTAAGACATTATTGCAACATCTTTGTTGTATAGGAAGTAAGGAGGGATTTCAGTAACGCTTTATCTTGGCACATCTGTTCTCTATTGACAGCCAGACTTTCCATTTCAGTGCCTCAGATCTGTTACAATACTGTACATTTCCATTATTACGAGGCTCTCTGAATAATGTTGACGACTTGCGGGACACAGATTAGAAAAATAATAGTCAATGTGTGAGAGATCTTAGCTTTTAGTCTCTAGCATCTAGATTCAAATGTACTGGATCATAGACTTCCCATAATCAACATTGATAGAAATTGTCATTAAGCCTTATTCATGTAATTTGTAATATTTAAAAAGTTTCCAATTCATGCCACTTCTCATTACAACATGTAGTTAACTGTTTTAACTAATTACAGAAATCTGACATGCACTGTTTTCCAAGGAAATTAAATCCAGATTTGAGACTTTCCACCTGTACCCCAGTCTTCCTCTCAGCCTGCTCAGTGTATGTCCGCCTGTCTTACTCATGGATGTACAAAGAGAACTGGATACAGCATTGGAAACCTGTTCAGTGGTGCATGAAGCCAAAATGGCTCCACTTACCAATATAAAATTACCCAGGCCTTCCGCTTTCGTAGGGCCCTTAGAGCAAGCAAGCGCACTAGAGTTTTACTTAAACCTCCCAGACACTTTTCTGGGCATTTGCGTCAAAGCCTGATGCGCCTCATTGTGGCTTTGTCCAACTCCACAGCCCAAGTTTAAAGGTCACCTATTACGCAAAATCCACTTTTTCATGTCTTTTATACATAAACATGTATCCCGTCTGCGTTGAGAGATTCTGAAAGTTTCAGGAAAAAACATTTGCTCTCTTTTTGTCCCGCCCAATTTATCACCTGAATCTCCTCCTAGAGCACCATTGTGTTCTTTTATACCAAATATCTCTCAGAGGGGCGTGGCTCCTTATTTCCATCTAAAGCAGTGTTTCTCAAACTTTTTCATACCAAGGACCACTTAACCAATAAAAAAACACTCGCGGACCACCTAACTCCACAAATATAAAAAAACACATTGTTTTTCTAGAACAGATTACAAATCGCCTGAAAATGGTACAAACAAGTGGCAACATGTGTGATGAAGGTGTTGTGAAACTTAAGCTCGCTCCATTGCGGAGATATTCCCACGAGGGTGCGGAAAACTTAAATATATTTATTTATTTCAAATATGAAATGTTACCAATATACTCACGGACCACTAGGGGGCGCTCACGGACCACCAGTGGTCCGCGGACCACACTTTGAGAAGTACTGATCTAAAGTAACAGACAGAGAATCAGCACTTTTATGTGAGAAGGATGTTTTCACAGGCTGAATCGTACTCTCTCTGATGAGCAAACTAATCATCATGTGTAAAATCGATGTTGAAATATCCAGCATGCATATATGAACAGAATTTGCTTTCTATTTACCAATCTGTCATTCCTTTTTTCAGAGTATACAGGATATGGGCAACACCAATGGCAGGCGGCTTTATGAGGCCAACCTTCCAGAAAGCTTCAGAAGACCTCAAACAGACCAGTATCCTTCACTATGAGCAGACACCCTTAACTTAAACATGCCATACTGCTTATACCGAAGCTATTCATATTTGTCTTGCTTGTTGCCTATTTCCCCTTAACTCTGACCTTAGAGCAGTGGAATTCTTCATCAGGGATAAATATGAGAAGAAGAAATACTACAGCAAGAATGTGACCAATGGAAGCAGTGTATGTATTATGGGTTACTTTTTCAGCTTTATACGCCTGCCTTTTTAAAAATAGTGAAAACACTTTAACAGACTATTTGTATTTTCTGTTGTTAATTTTGAGTTAATTTTGTTTTCC